CAGGGTGATTTGGGGGGGCAGTACTAACAACTGGGGGAATCAGAAAAGTCCCCTTGAAGGAGATGTGCCTGAGCTGAGCCTTGAAAGGAAGAAGGGGATCGAAGAGGCAATACAGAGAAGGGCGTCCATTCCAGGCATGGAGGGTAGGGCAGCCTGTGCAAAAGCATCAAGATGGCAGGAGGAATGGCATCTACCAGGAGGAAAAGCACTCTAGTTATTAGCTGGAATGTGGCACTCATGAGGAGGAGCAGTGTGTAATCCGGATGGAAAAATAGACCGGCACCAGATTCTGAAAATATTTAATGTTCAGCTGAAGAGGAATTAATAGATATGTAGTCAAAAAGTTTCTTCTATATGTAGCTTCCCTAATACTTAAAAATATCTCCTTGACTGTTTCAATGATGGAATAAATAAATATGAAATAAAGTTGCAAAAATTTGTCAATATTTTCATATATTGAGCTTTCTTAAAACCAGGTGCTACTTAAGGAGTCACTTTTCTTAAGATCCAGTCTTAATAATATGCTGTCAGGTGATCTGATCACAACTCTGTTCTCACAGCCCACAAAACTGTTTCACAGGCAACAAAAATGGTGCTGGTGGTTTACAGTATAAGAACATAAAGCTGGTGATATCAAGGAAGTAATCAGACAAACAAAACATTTTTAGAATTGAGTTTTAAGTGTAATTTCTAGAATAGAGGGACTGGGCTCAATTGGGGAGGCATGACTCATAACATCATACTTTCTGATTCTTGCCTCTACCCCCTTCCTATAAACACTAGACTTTAGTTCTTTTCTAGCTTTTAATCAATTAACAAGCACTGAACCTTTACTATGTGCAAGGCAAGAAAGAAGAGGATGACTTAGTTATTTTCAGTAATACAATGATTCAAGACAATTTCAAAGGATTCATGATGAAAAAATGCTTTCTAGCTCCAGAGAAAAAACTGATGTTATACAGACCATACTATTTTTCTTTTCCTTCCTTCCTTTCTCTCTCTTTCTGTCTTTCTTGCACAAAATAGCTAATATGGAAATGTTTTACATGATTGCACATGAATAACCTAAATCAAATTTTTTACTGTCTTAGGGGGGATTAGAATTTGGAACTCAAAACTTTAAAAAATGTTAAAAATTGTTTTTACACGTAATTAGGGGAAAATAAAATATTATTTAAAAAGAAAAGTGTCCCAAAATATAAAAATAACACTTCAACTCAAGTCAATCATTCTGCATCAAAGACATATCTATTCTTTCATTGAGTAGCAGAATTTAAGGAGTAAAAGGGACATTAAAGAGACAATAGGCTACAATAGAGCACTGACTGCAGAGTCAGAAGACCTGGGTCTGAGCCCACTTCTGATGCTCCTTATGATTATCACCTTAGGCAAGTCACTTAATGACTTTGTGTGTGACCTTGGGCAAGTTACTTAATGACTTTGTGTGTGACCTTGAGCAAGCCACTTAGTGTTCATGAGCCTCAGTTTCCTCATTTTTAAAATGAGGAAATTGACAAGATGGTTCCTGAGGTCCCTCTATTTTTACAATTTTTTTCAATTAACAAAAGTCTATTTTTCCCTCCCACCTTTTCCCCTCCCCACTGAAATAGAAAAAGGAAAAAACACAGTCAAGCAAAATCATTGGCCATGTCCAAAAAATGTATCTCGATCTGTACCCAGACACTATCACCTCTGAGGTCCCTTTTAGCGCTAGAGCTAAGATCATGGTCGAAATTATCTTTTTACAGATGAGTAAAATCAAGTTATCCATAGTCACATAGTTGTAATAATTAATAATAATAATAATAATAATAGCACTTACATAGTACTTAAAGGTTTGCAAAGCCTTTTACCATATGTTAACTTCTTTGATTAGTAACAGAGATCTCTTGCTTCCTAATCCAACGTTCTTTCCACTACTCCTTGGTTAGGATATAATGCAAATGGTTAAGAGAAAAATCTGTATGTGTATGATGAGGATAAAAGAGAAAGAGGAGAGAAGGACTGAGATTTTGACTGTGAGGAACAGAAAAGGATACTTCAGTACTTAGTGGGTAGGTAACAAAGTGAATAGATTCCTGAGCTTGGCCTCAGGAAGACCTGAGTTTAATTCCTGCCTCAGACACTTTCTAGCTGTGTGACTCTGGGCATAGCTTGTTTATGTGTAAAAACTGAGATAAAAACCCTAATTGCATAGGGTTGTTGGGAGAATCAAATGAGATAACACGTAGAATGCTTTGAAAGCCTTAAAACACTGTATAGGTGCCACCTGTCATTATTATTATTACAATTTTCCCCAGTTAGATGGGAGCCAGACTTGTATCTTTTAAGTCATCCAGGGCCATTACCTGTTTTTGCAGATGGATTGAGAAAGATATAACAGGAACCAAAAGAAGATTGAAATGTCATTTTTTTAAAATAGAGAAACATTCAGACAACTGAAATTTTCTGTTTCCTTATATTTGGGCAAATTTCTCCTCCTTTTTTTGTTTGTTAGATTGTTTTTTTGTTTTTGGCTAGGCAGTGGGGTTAAGTGACTTGCCCAGGGTCACACAGCTAGTAAGTATTATGTGTCTGAGGCTGGATTTGAACTCAGCTCCTCCTGAATCCAGGGCCGGTGCTCTATCCGCTGCACCATCTAGCTGCCCCTTTCCTCCTTTTTTCACAGTAATAGAATGAGAAAATTAATACTTCATAAAGTTAATAAAACCAAATAATTTTGTAGTTAATTAGTATAATTCAATTCCTTCTGTTTCTAAAGCTGTGGCCAGTTACAGGATCTATGCAATTAAGATAATACATATCTCTTTGTGGAAAAGGAGTGGGAAAAAGACCAAAAATGTCTCTGAGAACCCTGCTTCAATCTCCACAGCATTTTGGAGGTTTTTTGGCTTGGTTCTAAATGGTCCAAATGGAATCTTGACATCTTGATCCGGAAAGTGGCGTTACTTTTTATACATACTTCACCTTAGCTTCCAAACTATAGGAACAGACTGGCCCAAGAAAAATTAAACCAAACTGTTTCAACATCATGGTTTCATGGAATAAAAGGGCACAAGGAAATTGACTCTCCTAATTCATTCTTTTCCCAGATAATATCATCCAGAGCCATAATTAGGTCAGGGTGACCAGGGAGGAAGCCCCAAGGAACCCTTGCTTTCTCTCCCGGTGGACCTCAGGCCCATCGTCCGGCACCTCAAAGATTTTTGTTAGTCTTGCATCACTCTTCCTGCTTCACACCCTCCATATAAATGCACCTGCTCCCTCACCTGGTTCTGGGCTTTCATCTCAGACCATGGGAGACTCTTCCTTGAAGCCTAGCAGCTCAGCAACCCATTGCCACTCCTGCTGTCCATTCTTCCCAAATCCTACAATTGAAGGAAACAACCACTGTGCCTCCACCCACCATGGTGACCCCTACAACTGCCATCATCACCCTTTTCCCGCCTTTACTCAGGAGTATGGAATTTGGAGGTTTGTGACTGAACTAAGTGAGGCCAGGTCAAACTTTTTAGAGGACAGGCTGTCCATTCTCACCCCACTATATCACTACTAGCAGTTCATTTGGAAGCCACTGATGGGTCAATGAAAGTCAGATCTGTCACATATTGGAAGTGAAATCTTAAGGCCTTTCTACAACCCAGGTGAATTTTGCTCTGGCCTGACCCTACTCTGCTTTCTTCCTGCGTAGTGGTCTCCCAAGTATCAGCTTTTCAGTCCTTCCACGAGGTATCTTTCTGAGGTCTCCTCTCCATCCTCTAACTCAATTTTTCCTTAGTTGCCAGAATACCTAGTTATGGTTCTGACACTAGCCCCATTCTCTTCTTATTTCTCTTCTTAGTAACCACAAGTTATTTTGCTCTTTCCAATTCATATTTATGAGATCATAGGATTTAGAGCTAACCATACCCTAGAAGTCATCTAATGCAACTCTACCATTTTATAGACAAGGAAACTGAGGCTCAAAAAGAGTAAGTGACTTGCCCCAGGTCACACAGATAATGAGCAGCAAAGCCAGGACTTGAAGCTAGGTCATTTGAATTCCAGATATGACAGACATACCAAAAGACCCAGATCCAAGTTCTAGGTTTATCTATAATATATAAATAAAACTTCTGCACAAATATCATCTGTGGCATTTGGAAGCCCATGAGATTAAAGAGTCACTCTAGGTCATGGCTTAATATTTCTACAGAATATTAGCTAGAAGTTGGGCCCTCTGTAGAATTTTGCTTATGTTTTTCAGATTTGAAATTACGCTAAAGCATGGACCTTAGAATTTCTTTGAATTTTTGGAAAATCCATCTTCTTTTTGATCTTTATACCATTGTAGGGAAAGTAGTAGCTGTCAATCATCTACCACCACTATTTTTATTTTTTAGGCAATTGGGGTTAAGTGACTTGCCTGGGGTCACACAGCTATCACCACTATTTTTAAGAAAGGATAAATGAAAATGTCTATAAAGTCCTACTAATTATATGGACGAAAGACAAATATTAGCCTGTCTGTAAGTAGGGAAAAAATTCACTAGTCCACAAAAGTGCCCTCACCCATTCATCTTACCTCTAAACAATACAACTGATGATACAGTAATAACAGAAGACACAAAATCAACATTCTTTATGATTGATCCATTGATACTGGCTTTGAGTCCAGAAAGATAATCTTGTTATCACAAAGGCAGGTTTGAATGCTAACAAAATTATCATTGCTAAAAATTCCACCAAGTGTTAAAGAGTAACCCACACAAGTTTATCCACACAGTTCTTATCCTATAAATCCCAAAACTGAAAGAGTATGACACATTAGACCCACTGAAATCTCTAAATGTCTACCCTATGGATCTCTAAGTAACCTCATGAAACAACCTGGTCCCAGATGAATGCCAAAACGCCACTAACCTCCGATTTGTGGGGCCCATACCTCCTCTTCTTCATAAGGGTATCCACCTGGGCTATAAGGACCCCACATATTCTGAGTTACCTTTTCATCCTTCTAGATGGCACAAACCTGTTATCCCCAGGTGAGAAGACAGGAGAATTCGGTGCGATCACATGGTAAGGCTCAGTATTTGATTACCTTCTATCAGTTAGACTATGAGGTTAAAGAACTAGATCCAATTTCACCCTGGAAGGGCTCAGAAATTCTAATGGCAAGGCAAGGTGTGGGTGACAATGAGTGCATGCTCTATCTTGAGAAAATACAAAACTTTCCTAAAGAGAAAAATAATACAAACCTGTCCTAAAAACAGACCCTCAATAAAACTGTCCTGAAAATCTTAAGAGGATAGAAAGAATAGTATCTAATACTTCAGAGGATAGAAGGGAAAATATACTACTTAATACTGGGTGGAACAGACCATGTAAATTGGACTATACTCAGGTTTGTAGTACTGAGACCCAGCTCAAAGTTAGATTTGAGCCAAAGGCAGAGCAGAATTAGACTTGACCCTAAGTTTTAGCGGGTTCAATTTACCAGTTCATCTGCACGTCTGTGCCAACTGTAGGAATTTAGGAGTACTGTATATCATGACACATAAGCTGCTCTTTCCAGATTAGAACAGTCTTCCTTAAACTGTTTTGAATTGATATGCACCAGTGTGAACCACCCATAGCCTAGCTCTTGGAAGCTCTAGTAGGGACTTCAGGGTGGGGGAGGGAGGACTGGAATCCACAGAATGATAGAAGTAGCTGGAAGGGGTCAAAGAATTATGGATTTTGACCTGGAAGGGACTTCCGAGCTCATCTACCATGAGAGACAGGGTAGTAAAATGAAATGTATACTTCATATGGATTTAAATCCTGACCTTCTCACTTATTCCTGTGTCACTGTGGGCAAGTCACTTAGGTTCAAGAAGGGAGTAAAAATTCATGCAGTATCTACCACTGCATGCCAAGTCCTTTACAAATATTATCTCATTTGATCAACCCAACAACCTGGCTAAATAAGTGCTATCATCATCTGTTTTACAGTTGAGGAAACTGAGGCAAACAAAGTTTAAGTGACTTGCCTGGGGCCACATAGCTAGTAAGTGTCTGAGTGTGTATTTGAACTCATGACTTGCTGACTGCAGCCCTGAACTCTATCCACTGGACCATCTAGCTGCCTCAGGACAAGATAACCCTGGAGGTCCCTTTCAGCTCTAAATCTCTGAGCCACCCTCATTTTGTCAAAGATGGGGCCCAAAGAGCTCACGTGACTTGCCTATTGTCACATAGTCAGAACCCAGTTTCTCTGACTCCACAATTCCAGCACTCTGTCCATGTCACCGCCCTGCTTCTTAGAAATCATCTAACTCAACCAGGAATTTCTACATTCCTGACAATTGGTTATCCAAAAGACCTCAAGGTGTAGGGAACTCAGTACCACTTGATAGTCCATTCCTTTTTGAAATGCCTCTAGTTGTTAGGGAGTTTTTTCTTCCATCAGGCCTAGACTTGCCTCTTCTCATCTTCCACCGATGTCTCCTAGTCTTGCTATGTGGCCAAGGGAAAGAAGTATAATTTGCCCTCCATAAAAGTCTTTCAAATACTTGAAGACAATAGGGAACTGTCCAATTCAGAGGACTGCACTCAGGATTTTGAGTGAGACAGCTACAGTTTGAATCCCAATTCTGCTTCTTACCTTGGAAAAGTCACTTTACCACTTCAGGTGTCAACCATCTCATTCATAAAATGAGTAGGTTGTTGGACTCCATTACTTGTAAAATCCTTTCCAGCTCTCTGATCCTATCTTATCTTCTCTCAGATTAATACTCCAAAATTAATTTTATATGTCATAATTCCAGTCCCCTCATCAATACTAACTCTGAATTGGAAGGAACTTCAGAGTCCCTTTAAGCCAGGAGCTAAAGAGCATTCCTTTCCAAAATATTCCCTGAAAGTAGCCATTCTTCCTTCCCTTGAAGATCTGGAGTGATAAAGACCTCATTCTTCTTTTTACCAGGCAGCTAGGTGGTACAATAGATAGCATGTTATATGCCTAGAATCAGAAAGACCTGAGTTCAAAGCCTGCCTCAGATGCTTCCCAGTTGAGTGACCCAGGACAAGTGAATTAACCTCTCAGCCTCAGTTTCCTCATCTGTAAAATTAGGATAATAATAGTACCTACCACAGAAGGTTGTTGTGAGGATTAAATGAGCTAATATATATAAAGTGCTTTGTAAACATTAAAGTATGAGCCATAATATTTCTTTTTTGTCTCATTGGTACTGTTTTTAAATGTTACTATCACTTCCGAGGAACTCTACTCCCAACTTGTATCAAGAAAATACAATTAAGCAAAACAAATTAACCCATTTGTCCATGTCTAGCAACATATGACTCATTCTATACCTGCAGTCCACCACTTCTCTACCCAAAGGAGGAAGGCCTACTGCACCTTTAGTACTCTGAATTCATGACTTGCCCCAGCATTGATCAAAGTTCTGGTGTCCTTCAGTGTTGTTTTTCTTTACATTATTGGGAACTCAAGATTTATTAAGGCATACTAGTCACCCTTCTATGTACGCCTTTCCAATTACCTTCCTAAACTGTGATGTTCAGAATGTTGGCTGAGTGATCTCTATTAGAGCAGCTTCTTAAAGCAACAGACCAAGAAAGTTTTGCTTAGAGCTTCTTCTATAGAAATTCTAAGGGCCCCATATACAATAGGTTAAATGCCCAATTAATAATAATATAATAAATTATAGTTTGCATTTGCTGTGAGGTTTTATAAAGTACTTTGCATACATTATCTCATTTGATTCTTTAATTTTTTTTTCTTAAAGATTGGGTATCCCTCACTCAGTCTGGAAGTACAGAAGAGGCTACTCATGGGCCTGATCCCACTACTGATTGGTACAGGGAGCTTTGACCTGCTCCATTTCTGCCTTGGGCCAGTTCATCTCTCTATAGGCAAAATTTTGGTCCTCCAATCCTGGGAGTGGGGGAAACCCCACTACGCTGATGCCAGACTTAATGAAGACACAATCATAGCCCACTGCAGCTCAGAACTCCAGAGCTTAAGGGATCCATGAGACTCGGCATCCCTTATAGCTGAGATTATAGGCATTTGCCAATATGCCCAGCATCTCATTTGATTTGCATGACTCTGTGAAGTAAGTGCTTCTAGTATCATGTCCCTATTTTGCAGATGAGAAATTGAGCCTGAGAAAGTTTCAGTAATATGCCTATGATCACATAGATCTCTAGGATTCACTATACCAGCAAAAGAGGTTTGAGGAGATAGACCAAATCTTCCATTGTTTGAAGCAATCTAAATAGCCAGTGAAAATCATTAAGATGGATTCCATAGGAGTGACCCAGGAGAAGAATGGAGTCAAAGCTGTCTCTTCCATGGTTAATAGGAATTGGGCTTGCACTTCTGTCTTATTTTTTTAAAAAATGCAATATGCCTTTTATTACATTTATGTGTGTACATGTCACAAAACAACCCCTTCATAAGCTTCTTGAAGGTAGGTACTATGTTCTTTCTTGCTTTTGTATCCTCTGTACCTAGCACAGCATCTTCCATGGAGAGGGATCATGTGATCATATATTTAGAGCTAAAGGGGGGTCTTAGTGGTTGTCTAGTACAAATCCCTTGTTTTACATATTGATTACCTGAAGAGTTTAAGAGACTCCTCCAAGATCAAACAACCAGTAAATGGCCCATCTTCGATCCAAATCCAGGTCCTCTGACCCCAGATTCAAGGCTCTTAGGTGCTTAATGAATGTCTGTTGTCTTGAATTGAAGATGCACAAATGATCAAATAAGAGAAATTTGTTTTAAAGCTGTTTTCATCTTTACCATAAATTCCCCCATCTACAATGCAGTAAACATTTTCCAGATTCTGTTAAGCAGCCATGAAGAGCCCATTTAAGTTTCAGCATTCAGTAGGTGTGATTCAGAAGTGCCTTCAGTAGATATGCCCAGCACAGTGCTGGGAACACAGCTGACCCAATATATACTGCATTCCCTAGACATCTGTCAATTCCCTCCAAACACTCTTATGAAATTTTTTTTAAACTGCCAATAATTCTCAAGCGGCCCTTCACATGACAATCTATTTAACTACATGGGAAAGTCAAATCAAGAGCCTTACAATATAATATAACACATGAATTTATAACTGTTTAATTAGGCAAAGATGCAGAATAAACATTTATTGAACTCTTTTCATGTGCCCACTCCACCCCCCAAAAAGAGAGAGAGCTAATTGTCTCAGGTGATTGCACGATATTTCCAGCTCACACATGTGAGGATACTTAGATCCCTAGTGATTTGCCATTGAGATGTAAGTTGGAAAACAAATATCGGGCTCTGTCAACCCATAGTTTCTCTTTCTCAGGGTACAAGTGAAAGAGAACCCTCAGCTTAATGTTGTTTCAGCTCACATCTGTCATTTTTAAACTCTCTATCTATTAATGCACAAAGGCCAGTGAGAAATTAAAAAGGAGCCACAAAGCTAAAAAGCTAAAGGTGTTAATTTATGTTAATAATTTAAGTATTAGAGAAAATGAACTACTGTGTTGCCTGGGGCTATCTGTTAGTGTGGCCAGGTAAAAAATGCAACCAAGTTATAGGGGTAGGAAGGGAATGGGTGGAACCATTTGTACTGGTGGAGAACATAGTCTTTGGGCCCATGCTGGGGTTACAAGCAGCAGTATATTTAAGCAGCAAGTAACATTGGAAGGGCTAGTCCTCAGGATTTCATAGATGTAGCTCTCAAGAACAAAGAAAAAAATGAATGTAGTCAAGTATGGTTTTTGTGGCAATGAGGGATGGAGTGTGTTAGCATGACCTACCTATGTACAACCTGTTCCATGAAGGCAACCAGGAGGATGAGTCCTGTCTGTCTATACTTACAGGTGTCTTATGCATCTGTGGCCATGTTGCTGAGCTGTCCAAGGTCCAGACATATTTAGCCTACAAGGAAATTGGTGCATCATGACTCTGCTTTTGCTCAGCAGAAATTGCCTACCTGATGATATCTTCTTACATTCTCTTCTCATTTTATAGGTGAGGAAACAGAGGTACATATAGATTAAATGACCTTGTCCAAGGTCACATTGGTAACAAGTGTCAGAATCAGGATTTGAACTCAAGTCCTCTGACTCCAGACTCAGTATAACTAATTTAATTTATATTTTCAGTAAGACTGGTCACTGAGGGCGTCTATGTTGCATAGAATGTTGAGCCTGAAGTCAGGAAGATCTGAGTTCAAATTCAGCCTCATAGACTACCTGCATGACCCTGGATAAGTCACTTAACCCTGTTTGCCTCAGAAGGAAATGGCAAACCACTCCAGTATCTTTTCTAAGAAAACCCCAAATGAGGTCATGAAGAGTCAGACTTTTCTGACACGAAGAGTTATGACTGAAATTTCTGAATAACAAGCAGTGGTCATCAACTTTGAAGGCAGAACTCTGAAGGGACTCTGGACCTGGGACTCATGGCATGAGAGCATAGAACTTGGATTAGGTGAGAATTGATCCTCAAGAGGGCTGCTGCTTCTTTCCAGTCTCATCGTCTGTTTGCTGGTGGAGACCTCTGACCATATCCAGCCTCAGCTACCCCATTGACGAGTTGAGGGAACTCAGCAGCTAGCCCCAGACAGAAGCAGTGCTGGTATTATCCCTCTCCCCAACCTTAATTTCAGCACCTTATGCCTTGGCACCTCTGTCCCTTCCCCAGTCAGAGCCTAGAGGTTCTGAGCATCAGGGTGGGGGAGAGGCAATCAGACTGAGAGGGCACAGGAATAACACAAAAAATGAAACAGCCTGTTCCCTCAGAGAACTTACACGCTACTGGGTGATGTGACACATATACAGATAAGTACATCTAATGTCATTTAAGGTAGGCAATAGCAATAAAAACTGGGGGAATCATGAAAAGCTTCCTGGAGGAGAAGGTAAGGATTCTAAGAACTAAAGATGAAGAGAGAGTGTGGGAGAAGTTTGGGGTAGAATGTTCAGTTTCAAGAATTGCCTGATTGGCTAGAATAGAAACTGTGATGTAAGGAGTAATGTGAAATAAGGAGGCAAAACCATTATTAGATCCATCAACAAGCTCTGCTGAGAGCCATTTGGGGCTAGGAGTCACCACAGGACTATGCAAATGGTCATTTCTGAGAAAGAGTGAAAGGAAAAGCTCTCAGATTAGTTGACAGCTCACTCCTGGAACTTCTGATAAGCACACCCAGTCAGCTCAATGATAGAATGAACTACCAGAAGAAGGAGTGAGTTTAGGACTGAGCAATGAAAAGTGGGGAAAGGATGAGTAAAAGAAGCCCGATGACATGCAGTGAGGAGCCAGCTGGCAATGACAGGCTTTCCAGGGTTGTTAGTATTAGACAAGACTCATCCTGTGCTTCAGGAGTGTAGCCGCCATAACCTGATTCAGTCCTCTCATTCATTCATTCATTTGATTTACTCAGCAAACATCTGCTTAGTGCCTGCTGGCTGCTGAAGATATGAAGACAAAAAAAAATAAAAACGGCTCTGCCTTCAAGGAATTTGCATTGTCTTGGGAGGAAGCAACAGGTACAGAGGTAAGTAAATGAAAAATACACAGGGTGTCCCCCAAATCTTAAGCTATTAAAGTTTTTAAGCTATGGCAGCTTCAAACTGCACTAAGACTTTTGGGATACCCTATATACAAAAGTTATTTAAAAGGTTTCCTGCCTCCTCCTCAGGTCGGAAGATTAAGGAAAAGCCTAGAATAGAATGTAGTCCTAGAAATGACAATGACAGCCAGCATTTATGTATCATTTTAAGGTGTGCAAAGCTCTTTACCTATGTTAACTCCTTTGATCCTGTCAAGTAGATGCAATTATTATCCCCACTTTGTTGTTAATTGTTGTTGTTTGGTTGATTACTCCTGTTGGACTCTTTGTGATCTCATTTGGGATATTTTTGGCAGAGATACTGGAGTGGTTTGCCATTTCCTTCTCCAGCTCATTTTACAGATGAGGAAACTGAGGCCAACAGGGTTAAGTGACTTGCCCAGGGTCACACAGCTAGTAAGTGTTTGACATCAAATTTGAACCCAGCCCTTTATCACTACTTCCTAGATGAGAAAACTGGAGACTGAGAGCAATTAAGTCACTTCTCTAAGGTCACACAATTAGCAAGTGTCTGACGATAGGATTCTAACTTGGGTCTTCCTGACTAAAAATATAGCACTCTATCCACTGTAGGGTACCAAGGTGCGGGAGGAAGGGACAGAGACAAAGACAGAGAGACAGATAGAGAGAGACAGAAACAGAAACAGAGAGAGAAAGAGCATTCTAAGCATAGGGAACAGAATAAAGAAAGGTTTGGATGCAGGAGACAATGTTATGGATGGAAAATGTTAAGTTAATTGGTTAAAACTAGAACTCAGTGGTCCCAGCACTGGGACACAAACAGGGGAATCCTTGGGGAATACAGGAAAGACTAAGGTATTCTCAGATTCCCAGAAAATGATCTTCTAGGACCCAACTGAACCTGTTTTTCGGTGTGACAGCCTTGTTCATCTAATACAGTCGTGCAGGCAGCATTTCCCTTCCTGTTAGGCCATCAGGGCAATGCACCTCAGTTGGTTAGAGCACAGAGAAATGGATCTGAGACCCCTGGCATGATTCCCTCTCAGCAGCAGTGGCCCAATTCCAAGGTCACTTGAGCAGAGGGGCTGCAAGATGACAAGACCTCGAGTAGATTCTGAGGTAGGACAGAGCTGACTATTATTTTGACCATGACTGAATTTGGGCCCCACAGCCTTGTATATGGGAGCAAGGGGGGAAAACCCCACAGTGAACAAGAGCTGTAAATTGAGACTTCTCTCTCAAATGGAAAAATTCTGGAAAGAGAAGTTACAAGAAACATAAGGTTATCCTTCTTGACAAAACCCTAGAGTGCTGAAGGAATAATTGGAGTGATTCTTAAAGCAATCCAGTCCTCTGAAAGAAACAAAAGAAGATCCAAAGAAGTTTCAGGAAAACACTTAGATCAATCCTATCAGCATTTTCTGATATAGACCTATCAGATTAGGCAGGGCCAGAACTAGGTTGGATCCACTGGGGCTTAGCCACAAAACAGAA